TGCCCGTCAGTCTCTGTCTAACCGAAACCGTCAGATGCAGGTAATATATTTATTTCTATTTCCCTATGGTTACTATGTTATTGATGCATATTATCCATTAAAATAGACATAGTGTAGGGTAAATGGCCAAATCACGAACACTGCCAAAGTCCGAGCAGCCAACTTTCAACTGCAATATCTGATATTTAGTGTAAATGGAGTTGGAATATGGCCAAAATTAAATTGACAACTTTTAGGTGAAAGGTGGTGATTTGGGTTAAGGGGCGAGTCAACTACTGGGTTATTTTGCACCCATTAAATGAAACTTCTGCTCCAATTCTACCCATTGAACCTCAATATCATGATCCACCTGTCCATCGCTAGGTATCCTTCCTTATTACATATGTAGAAGCTTTGAATGGTATGGCAATTTATAATTTTAAATGACAATATTTTTATGTTTCTTCTGTAGGTAGGTAGGTTGGTAGGTACACCAGACTGCTATGGACACTTTTCCAAGTTGGTGGGGCAAAAAACCTAATGTATGTCTTGGTTTGAGTCGTTTGATTGAGTTGATTGATTCCTTTCATTGTCGCGTTTGAGTCGATTGAATCAATTCCCGAAAACTGCTCTGACTTGATTGATTTGATTGGTTTCCCAAATTTGTCGTGATTGAATTGATTGCTATTGATTGAGTCGTATACAACCCTGGAAATAAACTATTTGCTCCTCACGAGCCGTGGTGGAACATACCAAAGGTCGAAGACTAAAAAAAAGGTCGAAGACTAAAAGCTGCGATCAGATCAAAGTGAAACGGATCGTGCCGTGGTTGTCTACCAAAGATTACCTTACTTTATCGGTACTACTGTTATCTTATTAGTTGATTAGTTGATCTTCGAATGAAATTTTCCTCGATATCTATTTAAATCGCAGTTAAAGGTGAACATTTTATTTCCTTGGCAAATATTCGAAGTTCGAACAGTAGTTCATCAATCTAGTTAAAAATTGACACGTTTTTCGCAGTGTTCCTCCAATGTTTCTCGAATGTTTGCAATGCTCATAAAAAGATGTTTCCCGTGAGAACACTCCGTATATTTCATCAAATATATGTACCTAACTTCGACTGAGTGGAAGTGTGCCACTGCCAATCTCTTCCTAATCTTTGCCTGTTCTTGAGTCCTCTTGATTGGTGTAGGTATGTATCAGTGCCCACTGCCCAGTGGAAAGTTGCTAAGTGAATGATGAAGGGCTCAGCTCAGTAAGCACATAGGTCTGGTCATTGATTCAAGGCAGTTTTTCGACACACGTCCAATTTTAGAGCCGCGGCAACCGAAGGACTTATTGCGTTTCTTCTAATTCCACCAATTGTCTATGCCTGAAACCGCGGAATCATATATGTCGTAATATATGTCGTAGACTATATTGAATTGTATTGTATTGTGTTGACATCGCGGCTCATCCACTAGTGTGGCTTTTCATGAGAACAGGTACAGATATAAAATGTTAACATGGATGAGTGGGAACAAAATCACATCACACTAACTATGCACTCCATTGACACACATGATGTTCAAACATTCGGTCAATCTAGCATCCCTTGTGATTGTACCAAGTGTTCTTTCAGACGTCTTTTAGACCCCCCACGAACAGACTGGGGCAGCACATTGTACGCGGAGACAGTCCTGTACATACATAAACTGCCGCCGGCCAGTTTCTGTTCTGATCACCGGCGGTCGCAACTGTTGCTGATAACTGGCACGTGTGCTCCTGTCGTGGACCTGGCTGGTGGTCGTGATCGACTGGGCGATTGTGGCTGGCTCGCCGATGACCAGTGCTTGACGCAGCAAGCAGATACAGCGGTACATACATAGGCTGTGAGCGGAAAGCCAGCCTGACTGTGAGAGCACGTCACTAATGTGATCGTGTTTGCTGCGCCCAGATAAAACTCGGGCACAGAAATTCATAACCTTCTGAATGACATGCATGGCCTGCTTTGGAGCGCTGCCATAGACGGGAGTACAGTATCGAATGATGTATGTATATTCCGTGCTAAAACTGTCAGTCACGCGTAGTTTCAGCACACGTGCCAGCTTTGATGGCTTGAAAAGTTATTTTGAGCATTATGCTTATGTTTGTGACAGATGATAGCCTTGCGCTCATGTCTAAAGGGGGTCTAAAAACAAAATTTGCAGGACATTTTTGTTGCCTGACCATTTTTTGTATATAGGCAGTAAGCACAAAGCTATCATTCATAGCCCATAGGTGTCTGTCACACCCATCGGCTATTTCAAAAGAGTTTATTTTTGTTATTTGTTTTATTATCATATATTTATAGTTTATTTTTATCAATGTCATAAGAGCTTTCAATTTAATGGCAAAATCATTGCAAAGATATAATTTCCACACAATGCACGGTTGATATATACAAGAGGCTGCAGACGTTGTTTGCATTCCTGCTGCAATTCAGCCAGCAGGTGACGTCACAGGTGGTCGGTAACTCAGTCTATGTGACGTCATAAGACCACCTCGGTAGCGGCGAGGAGGATCGAATACGGCCGCTCCTCCGGTCACTGCGGGATGGCGACATCGGCCCGCTCACTTTCATTCGATTCCAAGGACTATCGGCGGCAGCCAGTCATGGGAAAAGAGGTCAAATATTTGAAAATGAGATAATCGATTCTTGGCCAAAATAAAACAAATAGTGGTAAGTGCTAGTAAAGATCGTTTTAACAACCAGTAAAACGCCTTTTGGGCGAAGAACGAGCGAGCGAGATAGTGAGCCCTGCACGTGCGCAAGGGCGAGAGGGTACTTCCAACGGGCTTGTGCAAAGCACCCTTCTAACCGGTCGCTAGCGTTGTGCCAAATTTGAACGCAATCGGCCCAGCCGTTCCTGAGATCTGGAAGCGGCATTCTGCACGTGCGCACGTGCAAGCGGGGTCCAAACTGACTTTTGCACGGCACCCTGCTAACTGGTCCCCAACCGTGTACCAAATTTGAGCGCAATCGGCCCAGCCGTTCTCGAGATCTGGGAGCGCCCCCTGCACGTGCGCACGTGCTGTAGCACCCCAACCTTAACACATGCAGATGAATTATCTGATGGAGACCTAACTGTGTACCGAGTTTCAATTCAATCGGCCCAACCGTTGTGCCGTTATTGAGGTTGCAATTTTGGGGGTTCTTAAAAAATGTCCAACTTTACCACGCGCCACGCAGGCGCGTAACCACGAGTCTGAGGTTACTGGGGACCACATGGAGGGCCGCGAAGACCAAATATTAGGTATATTTCAGGATCAGCGTTCGCCTGAGGGGGGAGAGGGGGCGTTTTTGGCCAGACCTGCCAGTTTTTCTGCGCGTGTAAGGAAAACCGCGGCGCGCACCGCCACGAAACTTGGTATATGGTTATGATACCTCAATTTCGCATCGTCTGTGAAAATTGTTACCCCAGGTCACCTATGGTCAGGTCACCAGAGGTCAGCTATACTAACAGAAAAATAGCCGCCTGACGCAATTTTTCTATATAAAAAACTCTGACGAGTTTCACCAATCAGGCGAAAAATATCCGCCGGCGTGAAAAAAATATCAGCCAGAAAAATAGCCAACGAGTTTCACTAACGGCAAATGCGGCATTAATGAAACGCTAGCCTGGAAGCTAAGTCGTTGACCTTAGGTCAAAGTTAAGAGCATTACTCAGATAGGCATTTGAAACAGCTACCGAATGCGCTTTCCCGCAGCACTGCAGCTCTATTGGTTCCTGACTTATGCGCCGATTTGTGTGAACAGTTGTCAAAATTGGGAACAAAAGTTCGTGAAAAGTTTACCTTTAGTGACCTCCAGTGACCTCAGCGATGACCTGATAAAACATGACATAGGTAATTCTTGAAAGATACTGTAGTGAGCTCTCTGTTGCTTTTTACCGCGTCTTTCTAGCTTGCTTACTTCCCGAGATAATCTGGTGTGGCCAAAAAGCCCCCCAACCCCCATGGCGAAATTGGCTAAGGGGCCCACCCGGGCGTTGGCTAAACAAAACATCCATTGTGTTGTTTCCGTTGACTACACATTACTCTTCACGTCGATTTAGAGACAATATTTGGCTATTTACGCAAACTGAGGAGGTCATCGGTTTTACTGGGGACGGTCCCCAGTAACCCAAAAGTTACTGGGGACCGGTCCCCAGTGTCCCCAGTGGTGGTTACGCGCCTGGCGCCACGTGCAGTGGTTGGCAAGAACGCATGGTGGCCATCACACCACAGAACTTTTACGTCCAAGTGACATTCAGTAAAGAAGACCGCTTGTCAATCGGATGTCCCGTTCCTAAGATATTAGCTTTTGAAGAGCGTCCCCACGGCCGGCCGGCCGGCCGGCCGCTCATACTCAGGATTTTCCCTTAATTCAGTATGAACTCGCTCGCTCGCTGCGCTCGCTCGCTCGTAATAATGAATGTTGTTTAGTTGCTGTTAGCTTCCTTTCATAAAGGACGCCTAAGTTCTCAAACATTTACAAAGCGGAATGTCAACGAAATTGACTTTGGTCTATTGGAATTGATTATGGAAAGTGTACAAGAAATAGACAAAAATGTTAGGTTACCTAAGAAAATTTGGCGTATGTATTCTAAAGTAGTTTACAGCATTAAGTTTGTTAGATCTTTCATCTCAATTACAACACATAGCAACCCAGCATGTACAAATGCATATAGGTCGCAGAGGACAATATGCAATCGCAGAAGAAAATACATAACTTAGGTCACATATGTAGATAACATGTCGAATTGTTGGGATCATGAGCGAAGACTTATAGACTGCAAAAGCCGAAGGATGGTCAGATAGCTCTAACGATGGATGTATGGAGTTCATGACAGGCATGGTTTGCGATTGGTGTGATCAGCCACAGAGAATGAAGTAAAGGGTGTGAAACGTGTCAAAATAAACAATTTCTTAAATTCCTTTCACATATCAGCTTAGGCGAAATCCTATCGGGTAAAGTAATGCATGGTGCCGAATCGGCTGCCATGAAAAGGAAACGGTAGTAGATAATGCATGTATTCATGAAAACATTCCAGAAACAACACTTTTTTGCAAACAACATACATTGTAAGAAAATCACGATCAACCACACTCATTCCTGACTAAATTAGATGAAAGATCATGAAGTGATGGTCTAGTGCGAACTACGTTTTGCATGGTAAATAGTCTTAAAAACGCCGGACAAGTAACAAAGGCATGAGTTCGGATGTTATTATGAACGAAAATCGATCTTCCAATGATAGCCGCTCCACTTTGTAACGTTCTTGCACCATACATGATGATATTTTATCAGAAGCAAAAATACACACTCCAAAGCTCGCTAATCCTCCCAGAACACTCAAATGATCACAACTCAAGCCAGGGTGCCCATTGCCCAGTCTTTCTCCGTCAGTTATACTCGTGACATGCAGTCTCCTTCTTTCACACACCGATCACCCGTGACAAAAATCTTCGATCACCATCAAGTGAGTATTACGCCAGGCGCCAGCACTTCTTCCTTCACCGACGGCACGCACCATTTATACCTCTCACCCCAACTTATTCTCAACACAGCTACCGCAGGTCCAGACAGCTCCAGACAGCCTCACCCGCTCTCATCGCACGGCCCGGGGGCTGCCCAGCACGGGCCTGACTTCGCACATCACAGATATAGTGGCGTTTTTTGGCGCCCCTTTCGACCTCAGGGCAGATGACCCGCCGACCGCCGGGTCCGACCGCCGTGCGTGTTGAACTCCACGGCGTGGCCGATGATTTTCTCCTTCACCTCGAAACGGTTCGGCTCCGTTCGCTGGATGCTGAACGTGAAGGCGGGGCCGTGGAACTCGAAGGGTTTAAACTCTTCTGGCTTGGCGGCCTGTGGAAAATAACACAAGGTTAGAATGATGTGCTTGCAGCCTAACCGCTCTTTGTGACATTTGCTGTTACTTGCATTAGTAAGACCGAGTGTCAGGCTGTAATCGTAAGTATTGCTCCGTTGCATGATGCGACGTTTATAGCGCTGATCTGCTTTCGAGCGAAATCACAGGCCGATTAACTACCGAATGCAATGAAATTACCGCTAAATAAAGTTACCACCCGCGCCAAATAAGGTAACCCTGACATAAATCTCCAGATTTAACGACCAGTTTCTGTTTAATTGGACCATAAATGCCAGCTGGGCTTACGTGTTGTTCCATTATAAGCTGCCATCTGCCCACACCGCTATGCATTCACTGACCTGAGAGGTGATGGGTCCAATCGAACCTCCAGCTGACCCGGATCCCGAAGCACCACCGCCTGCTCCTGATGAAGACGCAGAGCCTCCCGCTGAAGAGCCGTCTTCAGAAGAGCTTCCTCCGAGGGAATCTCCCTCTGAATCACTGCCACTGCCTGCTTCTGAGGAACTTCCACCATCTAAGAAGATGACTCCACCATCGCTCGATGTGAACTGGGCATTGCTTGACAAGAAACCGTCGGACGCAACGATCACCTCGCTATCTCCGTCACCAAATCCTGCCTGGAGGCCGCCGGAGTCGTCTCCGAACCGGCTGCCGCCTCCGGCCGAATTACTACCATCCAGCAGTCCTTGGCTCGACCCATCGTCTCCGAACTGCCCGGCGCCTTCAGCCGAGGACTGGTCGAAGAACAGACCACCCTGACCGGCTCCGGCACCTCCGTCAGAAGTTGACCCAGCATCTCCTTCGCTGACACCTCCCTGGGAGAGGTCGCCGTCCGCCGACTGCCGTCCGCTGTACGTCGAAGGGTCGGGCGGAGGAGGCGCGAAACCGACCATCACCTGCTGGTCGGTGATGACGAAGCCGCTGTTGCCCTCGACGCGGTAGAACAGCTTACGGAGGTCGCCGTTGGGGTCGACCACCTGGAAGTTGCCGACCACCACTCCTGCGTCGTCCCGCTGTTCCGTGTGGGACTTCTGGTCGCCCGTTTCCGGAACGTTCACATCGTACTGGTACTCGTACGGCTGTACGGAATTGGGGGTAATGAGCGTCAGCAAGCTATCAAGTCTATCGTTACGTTGATGGCATGTTAAAGCTTCGATTTTTCAATGAAATAGCATTGTGTGAAATGGAAAATACTTCATTCATGTCACAAGCATAGATTTGATTGTTCAATTGCCGAGCATTTGGTGAACAAGGGTTCTAAAAATGCGAAATATCCTTGAATCCGGGTTAACGCGGGATGTCCTTGAAGAGATATGTCAGCCTCACTTCCAAAGTCTATGAGCACATCAACTGTATTTACCTGCAGGCTGCCCGGGTCAGACACGGCATCTTGGGGTGCCGGTCGGGCCCATCCGAGGGCGGCCGTTACGACCAGCAGCACCAGGACCTGCCGGGGAGGACTCGGGCTCAGACTCAAACTCAGACTCAGACTCCTGTGGAATTTCCTGAACGGGCTGTGACAGCGGAAATGCGATACCGATGTCTTATGTCGGACAAAAATGAAGCTATGCAGAACTATTAATCAATCGATGTTTAGCTATCACATAGCTGGAATTTAGGCCATTCGATTGTTTCGTACCCGACTTCGAGAGTGCTTCAAACAGACATGATCTGTGTTGTCAATGACATGTCAGATATTTTTTTGCTGTCTATTTTTGTTGATCAAATCTCTTTGATCTTATTGTCCTATTAGACATGTTGCAGTATACAATTTACATCAAGTTCCACCAGCGCATCTGACACACAAACCTCTCCTGTTCCAAACCTCTTGCTCATTCCTTGCTTGACCTGAATGGACAATCCTCAGACGCATCGCGGTTACAGAGTAAAATAGAGGCAGTATTGCATACGGCAGCTGTGGAAACTCCTACAGCCACCTCAGATACTATCTGGTTTGTTTCCACATATCACGTCTAAACCCCACCCCTTGCCCGACGTCCGAGGCTACCGCTGTGCCTGTCACGACACGGATTGTCAATGCATAGCCAAACCCCATCTGTAGCTGGAAAGATCAATATCAAACATATATCTTACCCTGCTGTCAGTCTCGCAACTGCTAACATCTTGTGGTTTTCCAAGATAAAACGTAGTAAACGTGAGCTATTTGCGTGCAATCTGTCTCAGAAATGAGCCATTTCTGTGACTTATCCGGGTAATGAAATCAAAGTATGGTTTTAGATGGCCGATAAGCTTTTGCGGATGACCGATTTTTACATGCAAGCGTTGTGTATTAGATGGATTTTGTTTATATTTCAGAGCACTGGGTGGAAAGATAGCCCATGGAAGTTTCCCATATGTAGGGGAGGATGGGGTAATTTGGACGCTTTTTTTAGAAAACGATGTAACTTAAAATTGACGACACATTTCTGCATTTTCTCAACGCTGGCAGGTGTCGCATACATTTTACTTTACTGGACAGTGAACTTGAAATAATAGAGTAATAATTACTTATATTGAACTTGTGACGGATTACAAAGGTCCGCAAGGCGGCCAAATTGCCCCACTAGCAGGGTTATTTGGCCGGGGGTGTGGGGCAATTTGGCCGGTGTTAGTTTGCGGTCGGGATTTTCTGTTATATTGCGAGTCAGCCTCAGATTCAGCAATGACGTGTGACCTATGACGCATTTGCCGCATTTTGAAGGTTGACTCAGGGGTCACAGGGGTCAAAATAGCCAAATTAGCGGCTCTAGATGCGAAGACAGTTTTTTACGAATAACTTTTGAAGTAATCAAGCTAGGCCAAAACTTCGAGTACCATCGTAATTCTCTCGTCAGTCCGCATCGAAACATATATGTGTTGACCTCGAGAAGTCAAGGTCAAAGGTTGACCTCAGGCACGTTACCTCAGGTCGCTTGACCTTAACCCGCGCCCTGATGGGGGGGGCCATTTTGGCCCCCCCCCCCTGTGGTTTTTCTGAAATAGCGAGAAAACGGCGGCGCGCAGCGCCGCCAAATTTTGGGTACCTTACCGGACATCAATTTGACACCTTCACACAAAATTTCAAGTCACAGGTCACCTCAGGTCAGGAGTTATTGAGGTCAAACTGAGGTCATGTTCGAGTAAAAATGAGCAAAAAACATGACATCTTGAAACGCTCACCAATTCTACAGTTAACAAGCAATTTTAAAGTTCTTGATGTGGTTGTGTAGACAAAAAACGGCGCTACAAAACTGCTATCTCGGATTTTCGAAATTTTGGGATTTTGACCCCCAAAAATCAAAAAAAATTGATTTTTTTAGAAAAACTCAAAAAATTTCCAAAAATTTTTAGAATTTCGAAAAAAACCGGAATATATGTGATAGTCCTTGCGCTCTTCGATATACATACCAAATTTTAGATCGATACCTCTTTTTTTGGCCAAGTTATAGCGAAAAAAACTGTTAAAAATTGATGACGTCAAATTTTTGAACTCAATTTTTAGCAATTCTAGACCTCGTAGCGCAAAACGGAGACCACCATTGAACTCCCCGTGACGAGCTGCATCGAATCGATACCCATTTTATGCAAAAATATCAACTTTGAAATTTGACCTAATTTGACCTGACCTTGACCTGACCTTGACCTGACCTTGACCAAAACGTGACCTAAGCTGGCCCTAAAGTCTGTCTGACCCACATAATCGCATTTGTCATGTAAAATGGACCATAAAACATGTATCACACGACACTTTCATATTGTGACCCCCCAGTGACCTGACCTCTGTGACCTGACCTGGTATCAGTGACCTCAAATAGCAAAATATGTGTTTGAAGAACATTTCCCCATCGATGATTTTCAATGAAATGCATTTTACACGATTTTACAACGCATTTCTTGAAATGCCTGTAAACGGTGAAAATTCGACCTTTGACCTGACCTGTGACGTCATCGGTTTGACCGAGGTCAATGAAATTGGGTCACAAGGTAGTTCCCCGTTGGGGCTATCCAACACCGTTTACCGCTTGTCGCTATGTTGCGTGGTTCTCGAGATCTGAGGGGGGGGGCCAAAATGGCCCCCCCCCCCATCAGACCGCGTTGCTCGGCAGACCCCATCTGGGCGCGGGTTAAGGTCACGTGATTTTAAGGTCATCATGCATATCATTCGATGCGCCTTGGCGAGCTGAACAGAATGAGACCATTTGTGCGGCTGTACCATTTTTATATAAGGATTTATTAGCAAAAAACGTTTGGTAACCTTTGATGACGTCACATGCTCTTACAGTTGACCAATCGGAAGTAAGGCATCAAAGTAGTCAAAGTTGGTCATGAATCATGTCATTTATGGTACAACTGACCATGAAAACTCGGCCGTCCCAGCATAGTGACCATGAGCGCACCAGCCAAGTTGCCCCGCTAGTCCCGGCCAAATTACCCCATATTGCCATTCTGAAAATGTTTGTCTATAAAGTCATCACGGCTATATGGAATTAGATGAAATTGGTCTTGGAACCGCTGAACACCCCCAAGAATGGCGCTATAATGTCTGAATTCGTTTTTAGCCCAAATACTACATGTTATACAACTTTGTAAATAGAAGTAAAACTTACCATTTTCTAATGAAATTAACGTTTTATTAATTTTGAATAAAACTACGAGGGGCAAAGTTTTGGCATTTGTCCTCCATTTATTTCTACCCATGACAAATGAATAGAGACTAGAGTTGTTTCATTCACTTTTATTAGACATCGTACAGGTGGGGGCGGCCAATTTACACCACCGGCCAAATTACCCCACTCTCCCCTACCTTTCTGAATGATGATTTTGCGTGGTGAAGAGTCATGAGCACGTATAAAAAGTCCCATGCTTTTAAATACTTGTATGACTGCCTACCTAAACACCTTTGCGAATGGCTGGTTTCACTTAAACCGTCGTTGATTAACGGTATCTGTAAAATTGATTTTGATTATATTGAACACTGATGTTGCCTTAATTCTTGTCTTAACCCTCGCCCTGGCAGGGGGGGTCGATGCGACCCCCCCCCCTAAGGTTTTTCGAAGATAGCGTAAAAACGGCGGCGCGCAGCGCCGCCAAATTTGGCACAGCCTATGGGGCAACCTTTTTACATATAACCTGAAAATTTCAGGTCCGGGTGACCTTGGGTCAGGTCACCAGGTCAGAAAAACCGGTACAAGGTCATGGTCAACTTTCAATTTTCTGTTTGCACCTGTCCAACTCACAGTTCTTGACTGATTTCCATCAAACTTTCAGGGTGTGCTAAGTTCACCGAGTTGTATAACATATAGTTCGGGTTTTTTGAGGTCACTGACCTGAGGTCAGTTAGAGGTCATTACGTCATAATGTTAAGCCTATGGGAAAATACTAAATTCGGAAAATACTGGAGATATCCGCTTCTTTCTATCACTTTTGTGCTTCGAAACCACAGTACTTAACAGCAGGTCACTTGGTGCTTCTTTGTTTGGTGTACTTATCCATGGGTCAGGTCAAATGAGGTCAACCGAGGTCAAATGACGTTTTTGCCAATAACTTGGCACATAATGAAGCTAGAGCTTAAAAAATGGTGTCATTGTGTTCCTTGTGATCAGCCGAATCGAATGATATGCCATATGATGCAATTTGGTTAAGTTGAACTTAATTAATCAATTAAAGTTCACTTACAATTTAAGAAAAACTTTAAGTACACTTAAGCAAGCTAAAAAGTATGCCATTCGACGCGCCTTGACGTGCTGAGTTCACTGGTGCTTTTCGTTTTGCTCTATCTTAAATAGATCAAAAGTTATAAGCGGAAAACTTTTGACATGTTTTTAGCGAAATTTTTACATTTATACCCCCCAAAACCCCCCTAAATATTGACCCAGAGCAACCAAATTTGCACAGGGGCGAGAACTCCAGGGGGCCCACCTACCTACCAAATTTGGTGTTTCTAGGTGCCATAGGAGCCAATCGCGAGGGGGGGGGGTCGCATCGACCCCCCCCCCTGCCAGGCCGTGTTATGAAAAATGCCCTGCCAGGGCGAGGGTTAACCCTCGCCGGCCGATAGGGGTGTTGCCCCCCCCCCATATTTTTTCACGATAGCTCAGAACGCGCCGGTGATAGGGAGCTGAAACTTGGCATGCTTGACCTTTGATCCAAGCCGGATCTACGGACCTACACTGCCAAGTCAGGTCACTGACCTATGACGTCATAAGTGAACCTCTGCACGGTCCTAAAATGTTGCAATTTCTCAACGCCCCCAGTGCCAGAGAAGCCTTCACAAGAAGATAAAGCTTCCAGGACCTATGATCATACAGAGGTCTCACATCTTGTACATCTCAGATTTTTCATTAACGTCACATGAGGTCAGGTCTTTCACGTGACCGCATTATTATCAGTCAATGGGGAAGCATGGATATTGTTATTTTGGCGACGGGAATAATCTAAACCTAGCTCAAAGATATGGGATCGTGATTTCAGCACTACTTGCAAGGTCCAATGCTTCACTTGTGCATCGTTGACCTTGCGTGACGTGATTTATGACGTCACTAGGGTCATAAGAGTTTTTCCTCAATAATTCCCAATCGAATTGAGCTGGCGAGTCGAAAATGCCACGAATGGGCTTGGGAAGGCCGACCGAGTCGAATGATATGCGATTTAACCTCCTTTGACCTTCTTCGTGACCTGAGTGGCTCTGACCTTACTTTGGCCAGAGGTAAACACCTTACGTTGACCTCATCAAAAAAAGTATGCCATTCGACGCGCCTGAGCAAGACAAACACGATGGTGACAATGCCAAGATTCTGTGACAATTTTCGGCCAACTTATTTACGAAGAACAAAACCCGTGCCTTGGGGTACTTGACTTGACCTCAGAGGTCACCGATTCACCAGAGACCTTGGATAACAATCGATGCCTCTCGTAACGGCGCACACCCCCGTTTTTTTCCGCGAGGCTCTAGCACTACTGGGGGCGGAACGGCGAACAGGAGTCGTACCAACCTCCCTCCTCGGCCTCGATTTGTAGAAAACCAATAGGTTCGAAGAGGATTAAAAGTTGCTATAATATGCTCGTAAGTAGCTAATGAAAAAGTTGTTTCTTATGTTTAAATATGAAAACACGGAACAACTAAAGTGAGAAAAATTGAGGAGCAAAGTATATCAATAACCAAGGGTTATGCCCCTCATGACTATGTATATCGTGCAAAAATAAGCAAATTGTGTATGTTTCACATGCTCACGGCTTTTCTGGGTGGCATCTAACGCTTCCCGCTGCTCTCGCACAATGTCACTTGTTCACTCGCGCTGTCTGACACGGGTCACTTGGCTCACCTGTTGCATGGTATCCGAATTGATGCCAGATCCGAGAGGCTGCACCAGACGCAGCACTTGCAGGGGGTCATGCGACAGCGTTTTTATACGTGCAGCATACCATGCACGGCCGACGGGCCAATGAGCGGGCTGAGCGCGGGGACGGGGGCGGAGTTTGGGCTCATCCTCGGGGAGACGAACTGACCAGGGCCGAGGGGTCATCTCCATACTGCCCGGCCCTGCCAAAGCCCGACGCTAGGTGGTGTCTGCTGCAACAGTCTCATGCAAATCCCGCCCGCTGTAAATACAGGCTAATTAATCTGGTTAAGGTGATACAATCAGTCGCGCAGACATAATGACAGTGTAGGCATGTATGCACCGTCTACTGCCTAAGAAACTATCACATTAAACAAGGAGATAAGCAGCGTTCTCCAAAATAGTGCCTTCGATGGCGGTAAGTATTCAGGGAAAACGGCATAGGCAAAAGAGGGGAGGGGCTGAACTAATAATGTTTGCAAGAACATTTCTGGCGACAAGGCAAGCAACAGAGGCAACACACAATAAGTTCAATAAACAAAAAACAATACCTAAGTCTTTTGAATACCATAGGCGCATCCAAGGAAGATTACGCGGACGGATTTATGGAAGGAGGTTAAAATAAAGAAGAAGAAAAATTGGGGAGCAAAAATGTATTTATCCCGCACGGAAGACAGTGTTTACAATTGCTTCACGTGCAAAGAGAGAAAATTATCAGGTGTCGATTAACTGATTTGTTAAACGTTAGTGACGATTAACAAACTGTTAACCCGCGCCCTGATGGGGTCTGCCGAGCAACGCGGTCTGATGGGGGGGGGGGGCATTTTGGCCCCCCCCCTAAGATCTCGAGAACCACGCAACATAGCGACAAGCGGTAAACGGGGTTGGATAGCCCCAACGGGGAACTACCTTGTGACCCAATTTCATCGACCTCGGTCAAACCGATGACGTCACAGGTCAGGTCAAAGGTTGAATTTTCACCGTTTACAGGCATTTCAAGAAATGCGTTGTAAAATCGAGTAAAATGCATTTCATTGAAAATCATCGTTGGGGAAATGTTCTTCAAACACATTTTGCTATATGAGGTCACTGGTACCAGGTCAGGTCACAGAGGTCAGGTCACTGGGGGGTCACAATATGAAAGTGTCGTGTGATACATGTTTTATGGTCCATTTTACATGACAAATGCGATTATGTGGGTCAGGCAGACTTTTGGGCCAGCTTAGGTCACGTTTTGGTCAAGGTCAGGTGAAGGTCAGGTCAAGGTCAGGTCAAATTAGGTCAAATTTCAAAGTTGTTATTTTTGCATAAAATGGGTATTGATTCGATGCAGCTCGTCACGGGAAGTTCAATGGTGGTCTCTGTTTCGCGTTACAAGGTCTAGAATTGCTAAAAATTGAGTTCAAAAATTTGACGTCATCGATTTTTAACAGTTTTTTCACTATAACTTGGCCAAAAAAAAGAGATATCGATCTCAAATTTGGTATGTATATTGAAAAGCACAGGGGCTATCACATACATTCCGGTTTTTTTCGAAATTCGAAAAAATTTGTAATTTTTTTAAGTTTTTCTGAAAAAATCAATTTTTTTGATTTTTGGGGGTCAAAATCCAAAAATTTTGAAAATCCGAGATAGCAGTTTTTGTAGCGCCGTTTTTTGTCTACACAACCACATAAAGAACTTTGAAATTGCTTGTTAACTGTAGAATTGGTGAGCGTTTCAAGATGCCATGTTTTTTGCTCATTTTTACTCGAACATGACCTCAGTTTGACCTCAATAACTCCTGACCTGAGGTGAGCTGTGACTTGAAATTTTGTGTGAAGGTGTCAAATTGATGCCCGGTAAGGTACCCAAAATTTGGCGGCGCTGCCCGCCGCCGGTTTCTCGCTAGTTAAGAAAAACCACAAGGGGGGGCCAAAATGGCCCCCCATCAGGGCGCGGGTTAAACGTCTAGTTTCTCCCATTTGACTGTCTCGTTATTTTCACCAGTATGTACAGGAAAACGCAATGAAACATCATTTTCCTTTTCTTTTTCATTTGTATTTGCGACTTGAGCTTCAATGAACCTGTCAATTTCAGACCGATCACATTGTCGACCGTTTTTCAAAGCTTTATCTGTCTCTGCTTCTCTTTGTCTCTGGCTCTGCTGAAATATGTCGTATTTTTATATAAAATGTATTTTTTACCTTTAAGCTCCCGAAAGGAATCAGCGGCTGTATCAATAGCCAATGACTATGCCCACTGCCCAGTAATATTGAACACTTGGAATCGCATCTCTGCAATGTTTCTTGCAGTTCAATGCAAGAACTGACGCAAATTTCATTGCATTACCGAGTGCTATTCATAACCCGCGCCCCGTAGGGCTACCGGCGGACCCTACCACCCGTAGGGGGGGGGGGGGCCGTTTCGGCCCCCCCCTAAGATCTCAAAAAGTTACCGGCCGATTTTCAAAATTCAAACGGCGTTCGATAGCACCACTCGGGAACTACCTTGTGACCAAATTTCATTGACCTAGGTCAAACCGATGACGTCACAGGTCAGGTCAAAGGTCAGATTTTCACCGTTCACAGGCATTTCAAGAAATGTGTTGTGAAATCGAGTAAATTGGTAATTTATTGAAAACCATCGATGGTACCTTGTTCGTCACACACATACTTTGCTATCTGAGGTCACTGATACCAGGTCAGGTCACAGCGAGGTCAGGTCACGGGGGGTCACAATATGAAAGTGTCGTGTGATACATGTTTTATGGTCCATTTTAGATGACAAATGCGATTATGTGGGTTAGACAGTCTTTGGGGCCAGCCTAGGTCACGTTTCGGTGAAGGTCAGGTCATGGTCAGGTCAAATTAGGTCAAATTTCAAAGTTGATATTTTTGCATAAAATGGGTATTCATTCGATGCAGCTCGTCACGGGGAGTCTAATGGTGGTCTTTGTTGTGCTCTACGAGGTCTAGAATTGACAACAATTGAGTTTGAAAATTTGACGTCATCATTTTTGAACAGTTTTTTCGCTATAACTTGGCCAAAAAACGAGGTATCGATCTGAAATTTGGTATGTAGATAGAAGTCGGTAGGTACTATCACATATATTCCGGTGTTTTCGAAACCCAAAAAACTTTTTGGATTTTCTCGCTAATATATCCAAAAAAATGCTTTTTTGATTTTTGGGGGTCAAAACTCATAAATTTCAAAAAAACGAGATAGCAGTTTTGTAGCCCTGTCAATTTTACACCTTTTATGTTCTGATCATTTTCTGTATCTTCAAAGCTGTAGGCCTGACAGGTCTTCTCGCGAAGGTCTTTTTTTCGGTCAAAAATGACAGAACATGACGTCATTCTGACGTCATTTGTGGCCAACCTATCATAGCTTCTGGAAAAATTTTTGGTCACAATGTGTAAAATTGATGCCCGGAGGGGTCCTGAAAAGTTTGGTGGCGATATCTCACGCCGTTTAGGAGATATCGACCGAAAAGGACAGGGGGGGCCGAAAAGGGGGGGGGGGCCGTTTCGGCCCCCCCTACGGGGCGCGGGTTCACACCTAACACAGCAATAAATTGATTCAAAACAGCATACAAATATGAAATACCACGTGTTTCTTTTCGGCCGCCTGAGATAATCTCTGATGCACATTCAATTTTGCTTTTATTTTCAAGCGCGTGACTTATAATTTTATCAAAGAAGCAATGCCTACGAATAAAATAAAGGTATAAAATACGAATAAAATAAAATAAACTTTAAACCAACGTATTATCTATATCAGAACTGCACTGTTTTAGATGCCTGAGATCGTCCAAGTGACAATGTTTGCTTTGCATAGCAAATATACACCCACTGGTCATAGGAATATGTTGTTAGGGTCCCACAAAATTGCTCCAAAAAAGAGGAAGAGGACCAAGTAGGTACTACTGAATCTGTATGTTCCTACATATGTTCGCATTACGAGAGATCTCAGGTGAAAGACTCTAAAGTAAGCCCTGGAGCCGCCACTTATGCACTATGCAGTTATTAACTTGAAAATGTCAGGGAATGTACCGTGTTTAGCTTCAAGAAAAAGCCAGAAGATTATTGCACATTATCTCTCGTCGTTTTGGAGATATTGAAGAAAAACGTGAGGAAGAGATGAAAATTACACTGTTTACAATGCAATGTTTAGGGGTTTTTTGTGTGTAATGGCTTTGAAATGTTCTTGCTGCACCATCTACATAGTAAAACGCTCTTTTTCTTTCTGGTCATTTCTTCCGTCTCCGTCGATATTAATCTAGCTATCTCTGTCCGTCTCTTTCTGTCTCTGCCTTTATCTGCTTATCTCTGTCTGTGTCTGTCCGTCTCTGTACGTCTCTATACGCCTCTGCACGTTTCTTTCTGTATCTGTCTCCATATATCTGTCTCTAAAGGCCGCCCACACTGGAACTCGCATGCGGGTTGTGAGTTTTTGGGTTTTCGGGTTTTTTTCATAATCAAATAATACAATCCAAGCTGAGTGACCCAAAATACCATGTAACAAGCCACTCTGCATGTTTTTAGCTTGCGAGCCACCTTGCATCGCATTCCAAAAGTTGATTTTGAGTCAACCTTTTTTTTTGGCTTATGAGCTCATTGACTACTTTCTATCTTATGATTATACCATACCTACATCCTCGCTCCCTTCTTGTCTTCTTTTTATTTCTTTTCCATTTCTTAGCTGGGAGTGCCGCGACATTGCTTTTTTTGTTTTTCTCTGGTGTTAACGTAAGGGTACTGTGTGTCGCTGGGTTCGAGGGTGCGGGCACTCCTGGTCACCTATTAATGGGTGGCGGCGTAAAAATAAAAACTTTCGATTTTCCTCGCTGCGAGGTCTGCGAGTTCTGCGAGGTTTGCGGGTTTTTCGTTGGAGTCGAATTTTGGTTCGTTGCGCTGGTATTGCGACTACATGTGATTTCCTGAAGGTGTACCGGCTTCACTGCATTCATGAAGTTACCATAAGGGAACGGTCTAATCACTCTATGAATTAGTTTTATGCTCACAAAATCAAAACCTGCAAACTCGCAACCCGCATGCGAGGTCCAGTGTGGGGCGGCCTAACCCTCACTGTCCTTTTTGTCTGTCTTTACTCTTTCTCTGTCTCTGTCCTCTGTATACGTCTCTGTCTGTCTCTGTCTCTATCTGTCTCTGTCCGCCTCCGTTCGTCTGTGTGTGTGTCTGTCTCTGTCCGTCTCTGTCCGTCTCCGTTCGTCTCCGTCCGTCTCTGTCCGTCTCTATCCATTTCCATCTGTTTCTGTTCGTTGCCCTCCGCTCTTGTCCCTTTGCAGGTGGACTGTTCGAGCCGGATGCAGTGTTCGCGCTGCTGTCCTCCAGTTGGCCTCTGCCGTCAGACGTTAGGACGAAGGGGGCGGGGTGCGGCCGCCACCCGTCGCGCCGCACGCATCTGTAATGACCCGGCAGTGACAGTGACACCGCCGGGCTCATCCAGACGATGGTCTAAGCCGGTACAGGACCGCTTTGGCACTCCAGACATCACGTCTTGGCCTGTCCAGCCAGTAGCCGCCCCAGACCGGTTTCTGATACCACCACCTGCTTACAAGTGATGCTTTTACTCTCATTCAAGCGCCCCCTTGATTGAATTGTGCTGAGTGACTTTGGTATGTGAATAGTAGGTTGGCTTCTCCATTCACGAAGTGTGGTAAACATGATGGCTACATCATTTATTTCTTGTATCTATGAACATTAGTCACACTGCCACCTGTGCTCCTCATATAGCATACAGCAGGCGCGGTTCGTTTGCATCCAATGATAAATGGATAACTCAGCAGACTGCTACACGGTGTAAAAGGCGAACGGTGCGACTGTCGGCAAACACACGGTTACCAAACAGGGTGACACCTGTTCCATTGTAAGCACAGTGACGGCTTGCAGCATCACCTCTAGAAATAACTCAGCTTATTCCACGCTCCCCCAGTGTCTGAGGGGAGAGGACGGATTGCCTAAGTCTCGCCTGGGCAGACCCACCAGGCAGCTATAATCACCCCTCCACCTTTGACTCGGCTTTGGCTCTAAGCGCTCTGCCGAGTCGCTACGTGAGAAGTCACCGATTAAATCCCATGGGCCTTGGCTCTCCTGTCACCTTTGAGCGGTGCAGCTACCCGCTGAGCAGAGAACATTAGTGAGCTTTGTCGGCTAGGTCACTACCTGCTGTGACCTGTCACGCTACAACTCTATTGAGCTCAGTTTAATCCGCTAGAAATAATAGAAAATCACATCTAAGGCTATGTTGCAGCGTTCCGCAACCGAGAAAATATCATGTTACTCAGAAGAAGGCTGCAGATAACTGGACATCGACGTTCTAAGTCAGGCACTCGTTAGGCAGCACTCGCTGACAGGCACTACAACGCGACACTATCAAATCTTCTGAGAACTTAAGGCAGTATAGCCTAGCTCTCAACCCAGTTCTACCCTAAACCACCCCACGCCTTCGATGTTGAAGGCACGTCTGCCAGTCACAGTCTGCCAGCCGCTGCCACAGGCTCAGTAGGCGATGTTGATGCCCCGTCCTCGAATGCGCACGCCGGCGGCGGGAGGTACGAAGGCGGGTCGAGCCGGAGGTATGAAGACAGGCCGAGCCGGAGGTACGAAGGCGGATCGAACTGGAGGCACGAAGGCGGGTCGGCTCCTCAGGAGGGTCAGCGTGGGACTCTCCACCACAAGGGGCGCCGGCACCGCCAGCTGAGGCTGAGCCACTCCGAACAGCCGTCGCAGCCGCTCCCGCTCCTTCGCCGCCTCCCGCAGCCGTTTCAACTCCTGCAGCTTCCTGTTCAACTCCTGGTCTTCTTTCAGCTTCTCTTGCGCCTGTTTCTTTTCAGCTTCCTCTCGCATTTGCTCTGCGTCCTCCTCCATTTTTCTCTTTCCGTCTTTCTCACTTTTGTGCTCCGTATCTTCCTTCGTATGTTCGTTTTCCTTTTCCTCATGAATGTTCAGCTCTCCCTCAACATTTACAATTACTTCTTCCTCCTGTTTCCCAGCATGTTCTCCATACCCAGGATTCTGTCCCTCCTCTGGTGCCATCGTCCTCACCAGTGGCGCTGCGCCGGCAGCCCGGAGTGCGCTCCTCACCGGCGGTGGGTCAGCAAAGCCCAGCACGAGCTCCTGTTCCACCACGAACCCAGTGCTCTCGCTGGCCGAGTAGCGGACCGTGCGCAGCGCTCCAGTGGGGTCCACGTAGCTGTACTGGCCGCGCACCACGCCGTCCTCCGAGCGCGTCTCACTGGCCGACTTCTGGTCGCCGGTATCCTCAGAGGCTACCTCGTATTCGAACCGGTATGGCGTCGCCTGTGAAAGGAGAGACGCATGTCAACGGTGACTTCAGGCGCCAGTGAGTGACAGAGGCGGATCCAGCTCAGAGTTTTTTTTTTGGGGGGGGGGGGGCAAAATATAACAATTTATCGATGCTTTCCATGCCTCGTCCATAGGCGTAATGTTAAAATTATGTCGTTTGGGAGGGACAAATGCCCATTTTGCCCCCCCCCCTGGATCCGCCACTGGTGAGTGATGCGATGTTGCATGCAGTGATGTATGTCTTTCTACCGTGATTATTGGATGCCGTAACTTATATGATAAAGCGCAAGATATTTCACACGAGTAAATATTTCAAATGATCATTCAGTGTTTGTTCAATCAATCCTCTACTCCACCCTAAGAATACTATTTGATAGTCTCTGTCAGTATTATCCGCGTTCATCTATGCCATGATTCCACGGACGCGAAATCAGTTTGCACACCGTACACGCTCACAATAATTTTACAATAATCTATCAGTTTGTGCAGACACCGGTAAAACGCTTCTTGAGAGAGATTTGCTCTCCTGACTGGCAAATTTACGGTGGAATTAAAGGTAGACACTTTTATATATCCAATGGAGACGTACCCATATGGAATATAAACAGTCAAGAACGTTGTGTATGTACTTATAAGCATCAGCATTCAGCACCATTCAATATTCATATTCATATTTTTTCCTTTTGTGTGGACTCCGATATTGGTACATTTCCAGCTAGGCATTGCTGATATTTGTGAGTAGCATGATTTCATTTCAGTTGATTCAGGTCTCAAGCATTCACTAACCATTGAATGCAATGGTCAGCATCATCCTGAGCCTTTGCAGACAGCGGCTACACCTAAGTCATATTATATGTATCTCTTTGCAACGCGACATCATCAAACCGATTATGGCGCCGGGTATTTCTTTGGGGCTGTTAGCCATGAAACTACTTGGGGCTCTATTATGGGCCATAATTCTATATGACTGCGTCGCCGCCACATTCGTTTTACTACAGCGCGTTCCGCTTGTCGTCAGCGGCCGACCTTGACAGCTGCTGGCGGGGGGCATCCGGATCCCGGATCCAGGGACCAGTGGCGGCTCGGACGGGTCGGCCGGGTGATCCGTACGGGAACGGTCATAATGGACTCGGAAGAGACTTATGCAGTTTAATTTGAACTTGATTTCTTGCGCTTTAACCCTCGCCTGCACAGGCCATTTGAGTCCTTCGACGGCACAGGGGGGGGGGGGGGGGGGGGGGTTGGTACGACCCCCCTCGCATTTGGCCCCTGATAGAGCTAGAGTTTCGAAGAAAAAACGAGCGTGTTGCCCGTCACAAGAGAAAGCCAATGATACCCAATTTTAAGGTCCTAGGTCATCGGTTGACCTTCCAGGTCAGGTCAATGACCCAAAAATCGGGAATATCGGGACCTGTTAGAAAGTCGTAAAGCGTGGCTGCTAAGAGGTTTTCCGGGGTGCTGATCACGAATATCGTGTTAGTTTTGATCACAGATGATGTCGTTAAGCGTTTAGACCAGGTCGGGTCAGGTCAGGTCAGGTCAGGTCAGGTCAACCGGTAGGGGTCGTGACGGGTATTCGTAGAACCTGTCATCCGCCTCTGACAGCTTCGTAACATGTTACGAAGGCACCAAAACTACTTCGTAAATGTTCAAATGGTTGCTAAATTCGAATTCAGCTCCAAAAACTAGCCTAAAAACATGTAAAACTCGAAAAAGTGAACCGAGGTCACCAAAGGTCAATGACCTGACCTGACCTTCAGGTGACCTTGACACCCACCCTAATGCATGGGAGCAACATCAAATCACATATTTGAACGTTTGAAACCACGAAAAGCTTGCAAACACGCGGCTAATGCGAGCCGACATACGCCGAATCGCGATTTCGACCAAACAGGGCCACGGAAAAGAGGTCACAGATCAAAGGTCATTGGGGTCAGGGTCATGATATTTTCAGGGTAGGTGTAATATTGATCAATGCGAGGGTACTAAAAGTTTCGTCGCGATCAGCTGCTTTTTACGAGAGTTATTCGCGAAAAACCTTAGGGGGGGGGGTGCATCAACCCCCCTGTGCCGGCGAGGGTTAAACAAGGAAGTTATGTTTTTTTTTTAACGGCCAAACAAAAGTTTCAACAATGTATTTCTCAGTACTGGAGGGAATAATGCCCTGTGATCAATCGTCATCGCAAAACATTTCTTGCCTATAGTCTGATTTCCAACACTTCACTTGTTATAGTTGAGGAGACCCTATGCCAGCCAGTTACTATCCATATTTACATACACCAGTTAAAGCTGTCGTAACGTGAATTTGTTGTGTAACACAAGAAATGACATTGCAATAGAGTGTATGAAATCAAAGAAACAAGTCTAGCGACCCACACTTCAATGTTCTTTGACCAAAAGAGACATTACGGTTGCCTATATCAAATATCGAGATAAAAGAAGTTGTGTGATTCCGAATGGTTGCTGTGCCTCGTCAACACTTTGAATGACACAACTATCCCTGTTTTGGCGACCAGCCATGTAGCCTGGCCTAAGAGTCAATTCAACTGCATTGCTCACAGCAAAATACATCCCATGTCACTCTCTCCACCCATGCTTCTGAATAGCCAATAGCCAAATAGCCCGTAGACGACCAACAGCCCAATAGTACACCTGTCCTTGACCCAAGGCGCTCATCTTCCACCCACATCTTCCCAGGTGCTCTTCTGACCAGCGAGGGACCCACACCCACGCGGCCCGGCTGTCCGGTCACTCTGTGACGTCACTACGGGCACACAGCGCGTGGCCATTCAGCGTCTGTGCTGAACGCTCGCAGCGGCGCGGCTGTCGCATCAATCGGGCTTACCGCACGCCGATGATCACCGTCTGACTACAGAGAGAGGCTGGTGAGATGGGAAAGAGCGCGGAGGAGATGGGAGGCTGGCGACTGGAGGCTGGACAGCTGGGAGAGAGGGTGGGAAAATTGGACAGCGGCTGTCGGGCCGGGGCAGAGGCTGGGAAAGAGATTGAGGCAGAGGATGAGACAAGAGGATGAGAGGTAGGACAAAGCCTGGGGAAGAGTCTGGGATGTAGACTGCATAGTGCAGAGGTTTGCAGACCGAGGAAGTCGGGAAGGACAAGAAAGAGACTGGAAAGACCGGGAGGATCTTGGAAGAAAGTCGCGTAAGCGTTCCAGGCTGCGACAGCGGCCATGGGACAACAACTGCGACGCGGCTGCAGTAGAAGCCCAATGTCAAAAACTGGAAAGCTCAGACATGTCCTCGGGCAGAAGCAGATAAAGAAGCTTGCAAAGCTGGAGTACATGCCGGGAAGTCTGGCCTGAAGTCTGGAAGTCTGGGGAAGCGGCTGAGGAGAGGTCGGGTGCAGGGTTGAGCACTGGCAGACGGGCTGAAACCGAGGGGTGAACGGGCGTACGGTCCCAGACGCGCCCGACGCGGTTTGCAGCAGGGGATTAGAGACACAGGCTGCGACCGGCCAAACGCTGGGACCAATACTGCAACATCGAGAAGGCCTTGGCAGACATGACATGCCGCTCGCCACTGATGTATCACCTCACCTCTCAACAAAGGATACTTTGCAGTTTGCATTGGTCCCGTTACTTTGAGTTCCTGTGATGTCAGACTCAGGAGAACATAAGCAAAACATTTTGAAAGCTTTGAATGAGACAACAAAAATGAAAGTTAAATGCTTAGGTACTCCCTATGCCTACAGTTGTTAATTGTAGGATGCTATTTGTATTTACCTTGCAGCAACAGGTACAGCTAAATCGGCGATTGTATACTATCGGGCCGACTTATGACGTAACTCAACAAGGCACCCACCAACCATGATCGGCATTTGCAATTTGGGTACATCAAATGGCCACTAAGTGAACAGAGAGCCAGTCACCAGCGCCGCGATGTCACACAAATCCTCCCATTACTCCACTCCCTCACCCCAGACAGGCGTGATGTAGCCCAAAAGGCGGCGATAAATAAAACATCGGCCCCTATTGCAAGCTAGCAAAGTGCAAAATTGGTACTCAGTGCTCTCGGCTCAACGGGTCGGTAAAAGGTGAATCCATGGTCTACGCTACGAACCACTGCACTGTATGTAGACAAACGCTGCTCGCGATGTCAGACGACCGGGCAGAGGCCGAGGACGGCTAGTTTACGGTCATCGCGGCGCGGGTCATCGGGTGTCGACTATTTTCGGGAGTCCAGCTGAGCTCCTTCGTCGGACGGCGCTCTTAGTGATGCTGATCGCCGCACAAGTCAAGCGTATCCATAAATAGACGAACAGTTATGTAGGTATTATCGCCTGGGCACGGGCTCACGTGCGACGTGCCAAGGACCAGCGGCTCGTGGCTCGACCCTACACCTGATGGAAGATGAATGAACTATGAGCAATTTGACATAAAATTAGTTGGGGAGCGGATGTGTACTGTGCCGAATCCATAGGGGATAAGATAGCGCAAATTGGTTACACTAGATAACAATTTTACGAGAAAACTGCTTAGAAATTCCGGTAATTAGGATCAAAGCCAGTAAACCTGATTTTGACGCCTATCCAAAGATGGTCGTGCTCCCCGTTCAGACGGTTCGGTGGCCGTGCCGTGCCGTTCCATCATCCCAGTGGCCGTGCCGTGTCGTGCCGTTCTGTACCCCCGGCCCTTTCCTCAGCTGTGTAGTGTCCGCCGCATGACGTACCGTCGGTCCGGCGCCCGGCCGACAGATGCAGGGGCGGAGGGCGGCGCTCGCCGGCCGCGCTGTCCACTGTGACACTCGCGACAAGTCCGATAGATGACCGGCGCCCCGCCGGGACCTTCGGAGCGACAGGCGGCGGCTCCGGATTAGAACGTCTCCGGACTGGGGGCGGCGGCGGATCCGGGAGCAGCGCCTCGCGGACCGACGGCCGCCGCGGGGGGCGGCTCCTCAGCGCCCGTGTCGACCCCATGTCGTCGACTGGGTGCGGCGACCTCCGACCCAGGCTGCTGGCTGATGAACAGGGTACCACCGGTGACCCGGGGTCGTCCACAGTTCCGACATACAGCTTAGCGTATCGACAGCCCGGTGGTCCTTGGAGCCCATGATTATTCAGGACCGGTGATTCTGCGGGACAGGTGTCCGGTAACCGTTCAGGAAGTTGTTCTCTCAGAAGGACAGACCCATCGCCCTGATGGGAGGATAGCACTGGGACAATTGGCAGCGCCATGTAAATGGACCTTGTCTCTCACTACGTAAGGATCTCTTTTCAGTCCAGACTCGTCAGGACTATCCTTGTATTGAAGAAAATTGCAGAATGTTGAGTGAGAACGCCTGGCACGTGTCTGACGTGCCACGGTGAGTCTGTATACCGGTATTTTTAGAAAGGAATCCACGAATGAACCTTGGGTGGAGGGGGACAGCGGGAAATAGCGAGCGCTATTTTGTCGCAAAGCCTTGTGAACTTCGTCCCCTAAAACATTTGCAAAACATACAGCATTTCCAGTTTCCAATGAAGGCTACATATAGCAATTGAATATAGCAAAGTATGCTCGTATAATCATTTACAAAGGCTGGCAAACGAATGAACTTTTTCTCACGAATCGCCCGGTTTGTTCTTAGAAAAGTTGACGCAGATAAAATGTTAGCACCGATCAGTCCACCTCGGTGCATATCGGCATACATTGACTACTGATTTCCCTATCAACACCGTGACCCGGCCATACATCGACTGCGGATCTTCACATCAACACTACTGCACAGGCGCATTTGTATCGCATCGCGTCATCCACCACCACGCTCCCTGCACAGGGAGCCGCCTCTCGCTGCTGCGACCATGAGAGACGCCGGGGCGCCATGATTTACGGTCCTGTGGAGCATTAGTGGTCACCACGGCCGTCAGGATCGATCAAATGTCGGCCGTCATATTTGGAAAACTGTGCAGGACCCGATCAGACCGGCCTCGTGACATGCATAGCGGCATGAAACCTCGTCGGTGGTATCAGAAGATGACATGAACGATTGTCAGATGCGTTGGTACGATAAACAGCCGTGGTCTGAAGAAATGGGGAAGGATCCAAAGCGCTGGGTATGGAGACTGCACTAGGAGGGCAGATGAAGGCTATGAATTCGGCGAGCTATCCAGTACTCGTGATGTCCGGTTCTGACTCGTGCACGCCAGAGCAGTGACAGCCCGCAGATCACAATTTATGGTTGAATCTCTTTAGAAGATTGTCGAGTTCCGAAGGAAAACCCATTTCAATCTTGCATCCCGAAAGGTCATGCATTCAGACATTGGCATGAAAAGGACTCAAGAGCTGTTGCAAAAACAAAGTTTACAATGCGAATACGAAGTTTACGACAAAAGTTAAAGATGCGCTCGTTTCAAAATCCACGAAGTTAAAATATGACCAGGCGTGGACCCCCCCCCCCCGGTCAGAATCGCCGTGCAGTCAAACTGCACCTCGGGGCGTTATGACGTCACATGGCGTCACTCCCTCCTACCTTGGGTGAAGACAGCGCCCTGGCCTCGGGTCCGGAAGCGGCCGGCTTGGGCAGCGAGTAGCCGCTGACCGGAGGCTCGTCATCGCCATGTTTCTCATGCAGGGCAGAGACTGCGCTCAGCAGGAAAACCACCAGCAACTGAAACAATGAACAGAGACGTCAGAATTCGGTATTCGGTATCAGCTGCAGTTTTTGGTGTTTCGCGTAATTGAAATATCACCGTCCCAGGTCAAGTACGTACCTCGAACTTTCAGAGGTTTCGCTCTTACCTCTGTTACCTAAATGTTAGCAAAATTTTAGTGGGATGAAAGGTAGCATTTGAAATGAAGTAACGGATTTATTGATGAAAGGAAATCAAAGGCAGTCTACCTTGCAAACTGTAGTAAATGGCTTCAAATGGTGAACACCTTTTCCTGATAGCCAGGGGAGCATCTAAAATATGTGCAAACGCCAAACATTATAGGTGCATCATGCATATCCATGAAATGGTTGTAGCACGATAACAGCATTAGGCTGACCTTTTCAATCGCTCGGACTTCTAAGTAAGGTCACTAGTACTCTAAATATATACAGCAGAGGCTAACTAATTCAGCCTCGGAATTTATCAATGAGCTGTATACGCAACGAGGTCTGTGGTGCTTTTTGAGATGTTATCGAAAACGCATTCGTTAATGGCGAATACATCCAATCGCTTAATCAATGTTAATTCGATTAGCCACGGTTAAAGCTGGCTTAGTACCTACCCATAAGGACTGGCAACTGCTTTGAAGCCTGATAGATTGTCACGAAACTTCAATATCCTATTAGAAGCACAACACAAGAACACGACTTTAATTCATTCACTAGATTCATTCATTCATGATTTGAATACGCTGAACCTGTTATTGAAACAGGAAAGACAATGTCCTCTTTAAGTTTTTACAAGTTTTGCCTAGGAACAAATGAAAATAATGCAATTATCATGGATAGACCACAAACTTTCAATTTCAAACATTTCATTTCACCTATTAGATATAATTTCATCTACATAATTTTGACACATCTACGATTGCTATTCAACTGCTACGCTGCGTTGCAGTTGATCAAAAGCATTTGCACTGATTGGCATAGCCTTGAAACAAACATATAGCTATAATATATATTTAGATGGAGCTATGTATCTAACAACCAAGATCCCTCCTTGTTAGATGGAGGGATCTCGATCCAACCAGCACGGACCTATGTCAGGTAAAAAAGAAACGAACAATGCCGTACAGAAGATTATGAACAAAGTTCAACAACCCAGTTTTAGGTTGCAATTAGACAGCCTATGAATATATAGGTACCAATCAGGGGCAGGTCGTGGACACGACAAATCAAACATAAATTGTCAAAGTAGTAAGTAATCAGTATTCACGCAGCTTCCTCATCTCTCCCAACCACCCAGAACTCACTTTTGCAGACATCCCTTGCACTGCACTGCACTGCACTGCTGCGTTGTGTTGTGTTGTGTATCGCGCACTGCACTGAGCAGTGTGCGTGCTGTCACGGTGTTAAATAGACACCATCGTGGCACGCACTGGGCCGGGTGGTGTTACAGACCAGTCTGCACAGCCCACTCAGTAAACAGCGCTCGTAAACAGCCGGTAATTAATGAGTGTCATTTAGCCGGCCCGTGCGAGAGGACATTGTTATGCGACTGGGTCGGTGGACCGGACAAGGAGGCTTATAGAACAGAGGAGTAGCGATGTGCATTGTGCAACGATTGCACCACGAGCAATCGAAGGCAGAATCTCGTCGACTGGTGTAAATACAAATACGTGTACCTATAGTGCATCCAATGATCAAACCTTTACTCAATATGATAACTGATTTATTGTATTGCACTTTAACTTGTTTCCAAACATTGCGCATAAAGCGACCTGTGATGCCAGCAGCTGATGGGACTGACAGGATTTGAGTAACAAGTTGGACGCAGTTGACCAACTTGTTAACCAACTTGACGCAGTTGATATCGGACGGAGCTGATGGCTGGATCGGCTGAAGAGCCCCCGGGGTGGGGAGGGGTGGGTGGGGTGGGGATGGGGGGGGGGGGGTGGAGGAGGAGCTGGTAGGGTCGGGAGACAGTGGGAAGGGGGATGACTGGGATCGGTGGACGGGACGGGACAGAACTGACGGTGGGGGCCGGGCTGACAGATCGACTGGCCGTGGGGAAAGAGCCGACAAGAATCGCCTGCCAGGGCGGTGAGGAGCGGACCTGGTGACGGCACCCTGACCTAGCAGGAAGGTCGACATCCGTCAGCTTCTCGGCTTCTTCCCGAGAAGATGCGACGCGAGCTGCGACCTTGAGCTGTCGTGCGATGGGCGGAGGCTGCCACAGCTCTCAAAGCCTGCAGAGTGCAGATATGCAGAAAACGGGTCCCTGTAGCGCTGTGCTGCCTCTAAACATGCACTTGCACGGACTAGATGGCAGTTTTCTGCAACTTGAAGCTATTGAGTTCGAAGACATGCGATGCTGGGTACTTACAAGTCGACTTTTTGGAGGTGATCAGTGGATGATCTGCATTCCAAGAAATCATTAAAGTGTTGTAGAATTATTTTAGCAACTAAGCGGCCCAGCCATTTCCTGTCTTGCCCACACGTGAACAGTTACTCCCCACATAACACTACCAAAACAACCCGGAGACGCTTTAACCCTCGCCGGCCGAGAAGGGGGGAGCGGGTGCCGCCACCCCCCTTAGGGTTTTTTTCTCGCGATAGCTCCGAACACGCTGGCGATAGAGAGCTGAATCTTGGCATACCTGACCGATGATTCAAGCCAGATCTTTTGACACCAACTGTATTTTCAGGTCAGGTCAAGTTACTGACCTATGACGTCATAAAGTGAACCTCTGCACGGTCTTCAGATGTCGCAACTTCGCAACGCCCTCACTGCCAGAGGATCTTTCACAGGGAAATGAAACTTGCAGGATCTAGTATACATTAACCCTCGCCCGCACATGGGGGGGTTGCCACCCCCCCAGGTAGTCTTTCTGCTCTGCACTCAACATTTTTAGAGCTAGAAGGCTGATTTTTCGTATAGCTGCTCCTCTACCCTTTCTTGACGTCCACTGAAAATTTCAAGTTTCTGTGGTTTTTAGTTTCGGAGATATGACCTTGTTTTTCAGGTCATGTCATGACCCAAATGGCCAATTCTCAACATCTTGCGTTGGCTATGGGCCTTGTGAGCTTTTGACACCTTGATTTCGGCCTTTTTTGCCAGTCTTACCTCCCACCTATCATGGAACATGTTGTTCGACGATGTACAGATGTCAAGGTCAAGGTTAAGGTCAACCTAGGTCATCTAAGATAATTGCGTTTTAGCGAAGCGGAATTTACTTTTTGTGAAGTTTTTTTGACCGCATTTTTGGTAAAAGCTTCTCAGATCATGATTTTATGTAATACGGACCCAAAAACAATCGTTGCACACATCAGTATACACACAGACACACACAGACATACAAACACATATAATTGACCTTGACCTAACTTGACCTGAAATGACCACAGCAGCAAAAACCTGGTCGGGTAGTGTGACAAAGAGGTTCTAATTGGCTTGGCACCAGAAAACGGCATCGTCATCGGTATATGATAAGCAGCGCACTTGATATCCAACGGTGACCAAAAACAGCAACATTTTTTAGTTTGACCTGACCTGGAAGGTCAATGACTGACCTGAGAAGGTAAAACTGGTTATCATTGGATTCGTCTCTTCCCAAAGAATCTTTTTGGTCTTTACCGCTAAGCTCTATCTCCAACAGGAACGAAATGGCGCGGGGGGGGGTGGCAACCCCCCCCCCCCCCATGTGCGTTCTAGGATGGGAAAATGGCATGTGCGGGCGAGGGTTAAGATTCTCACAACTTGTGTACCTCGGATTTTTCCTAAAGGTCATATGAGGTCAGGTCATTTTCGTGACCCCACCATTATAAGTCAATGGGGAAAAATTAAAACTGCTATTCTGGCGCCGGGAACTATCTCCAACTATCTCAAGCACACAGGATCGTGATTTGCTGCACTCCGTGCAAGGTTAGATGCGCCACTTTTGCAATGTTGACCTTGCGTGACGTCATTTGTGACGTCATCAAGGTCATATTAGTTTTCGTCAATAACTCCCAATCAAATTGAGCTAGCAAGTCGGCAAAGCCACCAATGGACTCAGGAAGACCTGCCGAATCGAATGATATGCGACATGACCTCTTTCGACCAACTTCGTGACCTGAGGGCGCTGACCTGACCTTGACCTGAGGTCAACACCCCAAGTTGACCTGACCCAAACAAAAAGTATATCATTCGACGCGCCTGAGCGAGGCGAACACGATGCTGCCAAAATCACGGCTCTGCGGCCGATTTTTGCGAAGTTATTCACCAAAAACTGAACCGTACCTTGGGGCACTTGACCTGACCTCAGAGGTCACCGGTTGACCTAGGACCTTAAAATCGGGTACCAATCTCTGCGTCTCGTAACGGCGCACACGCTCGTTTTTTTCCGCGACGCGCTAGCCCCACCAGGGGCGAAACGGCGAGCTGGGGGTCGTACCCCCCCCCCCTCGGCCGGCGCGTATGTAGAAAACCAATAGGTCCGGCGAGAGTTAACCCGCGCCCCAGTGGCGGTCTCGGCCAACTTCGCCCTAGTGGGGGGGGGGGGGGGCATATGTTACCACCCACCTCTAACTCAAAAACTAAGAGGGCCAGAAAGACGCAGTAAAAAGCAGTCGATAGCTCTCAATGCGTACGTTTGAAAGTATTTCAGTCATTTTTCATCTTAGAGCAATATTGGGGTCACCAGAGGTCATCAAAGGTCAAAATTTGCCAATTGTCATATTTTTCAGAAAACATGCCGTTATCTCAGGAACTATGGTAGCTAGAAAAACGCATGGAAAAGCAATCGATAGCTTTTGAACTCTTCTTTTGATAAGTTTATCAGCAAAATTGACCTCAGGTCAACGGTTTAGCCTCCAGAGGGCAAAAACTCAAAGAATAGCTGTTTTTACGAAAAGTGTTTTTAGACAATAACTTTCGAGTACAAAAAGCCACGACATTTCTATTGCCAGAATCGTGTTCCTCTCGCCGAGACGCGTCGAATGAACTATAATTTGACCTTGAAAGGTCAACTTGAAAATTTGACCTCAGGTCAAGGTTATGACCTCAGGTCAAGGTCATGACCTGACCGGAAAAGGTCATGTTGCATATCAGTCGATGCGTCTCAACAAAACAAACACAATGAGACCATCCCCAGCGTTCTATCTCTTTCCAATCGCGAGTTATTGGCAAAAATCTGTTTGTAGCCTCAAATGACCTCGGATCACCTTTCTAGAGGCCATCAGCAAAAATGACACCTTGGTCATCACGGGTGGTCCAAATCACTGTGATTCTGAAATATTTGGACTGTTCCTATGCGTACACACGGGTCTAGAGGCATTTTCATTTTTCTCCATTGAATTGTAATGGAAAGGCCACGCCACTGACCTGACCTTAGGTCACGGATATAAAAAATCCGAGATATACAAATTGTAGGCGCTCACAACAGCATGCAATCCACCAAGTTTAAAACCTTTCTGACAAACACTGCAGGCTGGACATGATTGCAAGCTTTTTTTAGGCTTGGTCAGTTAACTTGACCTGGTGACCTGACCTGACATGACCTGATGTCAAAAATTTCACACATTGTCCAAAATTGATGTACCAAAAGCTACCCCATGTGGCGCGGCGCTACGCGCCGCAGTTTTTTATTCACACGCAAAAAACGCGACAGGGTGGTAACAAATGCCCCCCCCCCACTGGGGCGAAGGTTAAAGTGGCTCCAGACGTCGATTGTTAAGGGGAAAGGAAGGAGCCATAGGACACTTTACTGGCGAAGTCCTTTTTGCAAGAAAGTTTTTCATGATTTAGATACGATATTATATCTAAAACCGAGCATGATATCCGTTTTCACGAGTTAGCTGACGAATGTACTTACCAAACGTGAAAAATTGCACCAAGTCTCCTTCACAACAAAGATATTCATATGATGAAATTATTTGACTATAACAAATGATGTTTATATCGTAAATAATGTTATATATCGAAAATAACGTTTGATAATATGAAAAATCAGGTATATGAGTAACCGTGCGACCCAAGCTGATAATGAATTAAATTTAATAAATTTGAACATGAACGGTTTGAGGTGTGTAACGCTATAATTTGTATGGAGGGGCCTGTATAAGCTCAGCCAGAGAAGAGGAGGGCCCCTTGCACCCCACTCGGAGATCCCCGCCTGTCATTGCGACTTCTGAACACGCTCATCTATCCTGCGCGACTCGGCACCTGTCCTTGTGCCCCTCGCCACTCTGATGGGGCGACGAGCACATAATGAGTGTGACTCATGTGGGTGATCCTTATCTATCAGCACATCCTTTTATCCAGAGAGCTGGGGCATTTCGGGGCGGCGTAATCGTTTGATGTCGTATGAACTAACCCTGTTCGCTCCAGGGCGGCGGCTAGAGATCCGTCTGCCAGCCGAGACCTTATCTGTTCGGACGGATAGCGACGCTCCGAGCTAACGACATCGCATTCAATCAGATCCTCAGCTGCTCGCTAACACAATGATACACATTCAATGACGC